CACCATCATTCTTTTCTATTCCCATGTCGACGCATCCACATGTACTAACACCAACTGCCACCTCTAGTCCGCTCCTGCCACAGTTGAGCACCTCGAGCGCTGCTTCACCAACAACCCCGCCACCAACTCAGCCAAACATACCCTTACCCATTCCACAATCTCCAACCCCAATTATGGACTTACCCACCTCACCTCCACCAGATACGACCACTACATCCACACCTTCCAATAACCACCCAATGCTCACCCGTGCCAAGAATCACATTACCAAACCAATTCAAAAATTAAACCTTCTCACCACCCTATCCACCACAGACCAACCTGATCCAACATGCTATAGCCAAGCCATCAAGGATCCAAAATGGCGTCGGGCCATGTCAGAAGAATTTGATGCTCTTGTCCGAAACGGCACATGGCAACTTGTTCCACCACATCCATCCCAAAACCTTATTGGTTGTAAATGGGTATTTCGCACTAAACGCTTATCTGATGGTTTTATTGACAGGTACAAAGCACGACTAGTTGCAAAAGGTTTTCATCAACGTGCAGGCATTGACTATCAAGATACTTTCAGTCCTGTCGTCAAACCAACCACAGTGCGCCTTGTCCTTAGCATTGCTGTATCTCACGGATGGTCTCTTCGTCAACTTGATGTTAATAATGCCTTTCTTCAAGGCACTCTATCTGATGAAGTTTACATGGTCCAACCCCCTGGCTTTGTTGACAATGCTTAACCACTTCATGTGTGCAAACTTCACAAAGCTATCTATGGTCTCAAGCAAGCACCCCAAGCTTGGTATCATGAATTGAAGACTTTTCTCCTTACCTCTAGATTTGTCAACTCCCATGCAGATACCTCACTCTTCATTTGTCACCATGGAGGTCATAGGCTCTATCTACTTATTTATGTTGATGACCTCATCCTTACAGGGGACAATGACATGGTGGTTACCAAGTTCATCCAACTTCTTGCACAACGATTCTCTATAAAAGATCTTGGCCCATTATCCTTCTTTTTGGGTGTTGAAGTCACTTCTACCAAAGATGGTTTATTTCTATCCCAGCGGCGTTACATCAATGATCTTCTTGTTCGCACTAAAATGACAGATGCTAAGCCAGTGACGACACCCATAGCCACCACTCCAGTTCTCACACTCCACTCAGGGACTACCCTGTCTGACCCCACTGAGTATCGGACAGTAGTTGGCAGCTTACAATATCTCTCTTTGACTCGGTCGGACATAGCATTTGTTGTGAACAAACTCTCTCAATATATTCACAGGCCAACAACTGAACACTGGGCTGCCACCAAACGTCTCTTACGCTATCTCTGTGGAACCATCAATCATGGCCTCATGATCTATCGAGATTCTCCCGCATCTCTCCATGCTTTTTCAGATGCCGATTGGGCTGGAAACAAAGATGACTGCACTTCCACTAGTGCATATCTTGTCTATCTCGGACGCAACCATATCTCTTGGAGCTCTAAAAAGCAACGTACTGTTGCCCGATCATCCACTGAAGCTGAATATCAAAGTGTTGCTGCTACTACAGTGGAGGTAACATGGATTCGCTCCTTACTATCTGAACTTGGATTGCAATCTGCTAGTGTGCCGACCATCTATTGTGACAACATCGGGGCAACATATCTTTGTTCGAATCCAGTATTTCATTCCCGAATGAAGCATGTTGCAATCGACTTCCACTTTGTCAGAGATAAAGTTCAGAGTGGAGAACTTCGCGTCGCTCATGTCTCTTCTACCGATCAACTAGCCGACACCCTCACTAAGCCTTTATCGCGTTCTCGATTTGCTACACTACGAAACAAGATAGGAATCTCTGATAGATCCACTATCTTGCGGGGGCATATTAAGGATACGTAAATATCCTTTCCTTCAATATATATTATTTGTAAATCAATTGTAATAACCAACCTTGATTGTAGGAGATTACGTACATTACCTTGATTGTAGGAGATTCGGTGTATTAGGAAACTTACCATTATTTGTATCATCATTACTGTATATATATTTCGGCTAATCAACAGTAAGGCTTATGCCATTATTCACAAATATATTCAATTGTTGATAAAAACAACTCATAGTTTAATAATGTGTCACACAAACTTCTTAAACTAATTTTTCTTTTAGAACATAATGTGCTATGGACCACGTTGCTTAAAATCACTTTGCCGCCTTAGCGCTTGCTAGGTTTGGACAAAAGAGCACGAGGGTTTTACAAAAATTAAACCATCAAATGATAGCTTAAAAATAAATACATGTTGTCATATATTTTGTAGTAGCGAAATTAAGAGAAGGAATAATGCTCCTTAATTATTAACTATAAACAATTGCTCGTCAAGAAACGAAAGCTCATATGTAATTGGATAATAGGTATTTGATCAGTAGCTTGTATCATCCATTAGATATACTAGCATATATAATACAAAGTGCTATGAAGAAAACTAAAGCAGCCAAAAAATATGAGTTTGTAAGTGCAGCATTTTTGCCAGATCGGCAACATTAAGCTCTGAGGGTAAAACCATATCAAAACGCACAACAATTATGCTTATAAGTAGGTCATAAAATTCCAACAAAAAATTTCATATAAATAAGCCACAGGTTATCCAACATAATATCATTTCATCAATATAAACATACCGTCTGACCTTGGGTTTGCATGAGGAAACCCAATAAATTAAATGAGCATAATTTTTTTCCCCCAAATAAAGAACTTAGATAATATATTTGGCAGAAAAGAATAAAAATTATGTTAACAATAATAATAATTGTAATAACATGATGTTTCATAATCCAAAATAAAGCTCCAAACTTTTTTATTCTATTCTATAAAATTATATAATGATGATGATGATGATGATGATAAAAGATTACCAGCCAGTATTAAGCTTGGACTGCGAATGTTTTGGTAGCCATATTATTCTTCTGCGATCCATCTCTCTTTCTGTTTGGATTAAATACCTAATTCATTCATAACAACAACGTAACTTCGGTGTTAAACAAAATAGATGTGTATATTTGTATATAGTGTTGAGAGTGCCTCGTAGGAATTACTGAGTTGTAAGTCGGTCCTTCTTTATTTGATTCTCAAAAACAAAATTTAATTAAACCCCTTAATCCAAAATAAGAAATTAATTAATTGCCTTTTCGGACGTTAAATCATGATTAGGAAGCGCGTCAAAATTATTACCGAGTATGTACTTGTGAGTGATAACAGCATTTAGAGTACTAACACGTACCATATGCACGCATGATTTCAGATTTCCTTCATAAGTACCAACAAGTATATTTGACGGAGATTCACCGAGGAGTAACCATGCTTTATCGACAAAAATTTCATCGATGAAGACGACTCGTTGTTGACGAATAAATTTTTTCAAGAATTGGTTGCCCTAAGAAAGGAAATCATAACGGATGTAGCTTTCCCCTACAAAAATTTTCACCGAGGAAGGCCCCACTTCTAGTAGTGGGACTTTTATGTTATTTTATATCTTTTCTGATTGTTTATGAAATTAAAGTGATTAAATTCAGTGGGTGAAATGTTGGAATTAAGTTGTTTCCGTTTATACAAAATCGTATTGACTTAGTTGTAAGTAGGTCCTACTTTATTTGATTCCGAACAAAAAAAATGTAAATTTTAAAAATCCAAAATAAGAAATTTAATTGCCTTTTCATTCTTTAATCCTAAGCTACGAGTTATTTAAATGTGAGTAATATCGACTTCTACAACTACCAACACGTATACCATGCATGCGTGAGTTCAAATTTGCTTTCTCTTTTCGGTAGCGTATTAGTTGTCTCTTCAATTAAATTTCAACACCTCATTTAACTACTTAAGGATTTTTAGTTAGAATATTTATCATGTGATTAGGATTTTGAACTTAAATATAATAGAATATTAGTATTAGAGGATTAGCTGATGAAACAACGTATTTGAACTCTGCCTGCGTGCTTCTAGCATAATTAACTTGTTTAATCACGTGTGGTAGAGATAAAAAGAAATCCGCATCTTAAAGCAACTAATGGCAAGTGTTAGTTATAAAAGATAAAAATAATCACCCATACACCAAAGAATTGATATTTTATCTATTATATGATGACTGACAAAAGACAATATATAAAGTGAAAATGAGAAATCTCATTTCCCTTACTTTCTTTCTTTAAATTCATGATTAGTAAAGCAAGAAAAATGATGAGTTTATATCAGTACTTGTAAGTGATATGTAAGAATCACGTTTATGAGTACTAACCAACACTTACCATGCATGCATGCTTCTAGCACAATCAAATCACATGTTGTAAGGAATCAAGCTCAGACTATTTCTAGAGAGAGAAAGAGCAATTGATGAGTGAGAAAGAAATCTGAATTCTCATTACAGTAATTCTGTTACAACAACTTATTTATATGTAAGTTAGTGTAGATAACAAACTCTAACAAACTAACCCAATGAAATCATTACACGTGTAATCTTTATCTAACATAACTAAGACTGTTTTAACACATGTTGTAGAGATAAAAGGAAATCTGAATCTCAAAGCAAAAAATAACACCTTCTAATAATTGAAATATATCATCAGGAGGCCAAAAAATTAAAAATTTAATCTAGCACATATATGATCACACAAAAGACGAAAGAAATCTTCTCTTTTCATCTTTATCTAAACCTGCGACAATATGCTCTTCCAGAAAATGAATCCTGTGAGCATACCAACATTTGGACGATGTGCAGCAAAATCTTGCAATAATAAAAAGGATTCAAATAAACAACTTAAACGATTAAACCATTCTAATTAATAAAAGCAAATCAGAAATATCTCTGAGTTGCAAAGATGTTTGGTATTCAATTTCACCCAACATAACACTCAACAAACAAACAACAGAAGAGTCTTTGGCTCTCATAGGGAGCCTGTGGAGGAGGACTGTGTGCGTCATCCCGGAATAATGAAGCAGACTGCTTCCGCGGCCAGATTTCCTTCGTTTCAATTCAAGACGTTGCAGCATCGCTTTCGCAGAGGTACCAGGGTCCTCTCATAGAAGCAGACCGGCGCATTTACCGCACCTCTAAACCCGATGTTCCTTACCTTTTCAGTGCGGATATTGTAAGAGCAAAGCCGGCCGCCTTTAGCTTTCATCAGGATCTCTTCACTGTTCCAGAATGCCAAAGGTTTTAAGGAACCAAGTTGTGGTCGAACGGCTAGGGTTTTGATCCAAGGAGTAGCACCATTAAGAACATCGCTGTAATCAGCCATAACAAATATTTCAAAAGCTACCGAACGATCACCCGTATCCACAAGATGTTTGTGACAAAGAAACAAAGCAAGAGAGCCATTCCACACACAGAAATTTAGCCAATCCCAAGGCATTGTAAGATTCTCAGGGAATGGTATCACATGGAACACCTCATCACTCACATCAAAACTCAAGATCATCATTTTATGATCATCTTTCATCTCAATTGCCCAATAGCAAACTCCTTTCAAATACAGCGCGACTTCGAGAAATCGGATGTCCACAATATTTTCAGGCATGCTTATGTCTCTCCAGGACTCCTTGCCAAGAGTGTAGATCTCGGCTAGGGCTTTAGAACAATCCATAACCCTAACAAACTTATAGTCCTTAGCGTTGGAATCGTATCCGAACCCGATTCCCGAATAGGTTTTGGTAGTTTTATTGGCATGTCTTGACTCCCGAAGAAGCTTGAATTCTTTCATTACGGGATTGCATACCATGACATGCATCCTATCGACCAAACAAACGATTCCATCACAATGACAAGCGACCACCCAAGAGTTTCCACCTTCCTTTGCAAATGGAGGTAAGTTGAGTTCTTCAGCGACGGAAGGTACAAAGCGATTCTTCTTCTTGCCATTGTCAATGGTTAAAGTAAGCAATGAGAATCTAACATTGTTCTTATGGCTGTAGTCAGCATCAGGAGGAGATTGGTCGAAAATTAGGGTTACAGTGGACTTATCTTTGGTGTTTCGGAACTGTTTTTCGACGAATTCCCGGTTGTTGATAAGAGCACAGAGGAGAAAGCACCATGATCGGTTGACGCTCTTGAACTCAACGATCGACTCGCCGGGCAGCCTCGAGATGATGTCATCCACTATTCTGTCCGGTATATGACGAAAGCTCACCATTTTCGCTTCTGATCGATGGAAAACTGATAAAAAAAAAAAACATACAACAAACGAGAAATGAACATTTAAAAGCCTTTTGACATGTTTCTAATGTTAATCTAAAAATTCAGTATTCAAATATTGCCAAGATCACAAGAGGCGAAACTGGAAAAGAACAACACTTACAAACACAAACACCATATCGAATACAAATAGATTAATTCAGCACAGAAAAAACATGAAATGTATGTGTGTGTTTGTGTATACGCACGCACAACCACTTATAAACGCAAACACTATATCGAATACAAATAGATTAATTCAGCACAGAAAAAACATGAAATGTATGAGTGTGTGTGTGTGTGTATGCTTAGTAACGAAGTACAGAAGATTCTTTTTCTTTTTCTTCTTTTTTTTTTTTTTTCATAATACAAGGGGCACAAACACACAAACAAACAAACAAAAATCACTTCTAATAAGCAATTGTTCTTGTTTTCATCTATTATTTTCACTTTGGCCGGAAGGGAACTTATACAATTATGTCAAACCCTAATTCTATCTAGATTATAGGTGTTCACCAAACCAACTAAATCGATAAAATCTGATCAAATCAAATCAAAACAACTAATAGTCGATTTAGTTTAATTTGAATATTAAAAAAAAAAAAACTAATTAGGTTTGTTTGGTTTACGGTTTTACTCTTTGAAAACTCAAACCAGACATATTTTTATATATTAATATTATATAAAATTATATATTTGTTGAAATATAAGTAATTAGTTAATTATATGTTATTATCTATCACTGTTTTATTATAGATTTATTTATGTTTATTTTTCACCTTATAGATCATTTGAATGTACTATTTTCGTTGTGATGTTTTATTTTTGTTATGAATTGAATAGTTCTTGAGTTATGTATGTTTGTGATTGACAGATAGATGAATGTTTATCATGATAATTTTTTTCTTAAAGAAAGTCGAGAATCATTTAATAAATAATTCAAACCGATTAAAAAGTCAAACAAAATCGATTTTGTTTTAGTTAAAATTTGATCCCTTAAATAGTTTGGTTCGATTTGAAATCTACAAAATTTATACTTGATCTAAAATAAATCCTAATCTAAACATAATAATGTCTTCTTTATAAGAAAAAAATGATCTAAGATATATATCATAACTAAAAACAAATTAAACTACATTTGGTTTAAAAAAATTCAAACCAAGTCGATTTTGTTTTAGTTTATTAGATCTGATCCCTTAAATAATTTAGCATGTGGGCCTTTAAAGAACTTTGGGCTTTAATTGGAATTAAGAAAGAGAATTAAGTGTTTTAAAACCCTAGATCAAATGACCACTCCCTCCTTCGCCCACTGAGCAGAAAAACGGAGCAACGGCACCCAGATTTTTCCCTTCTCCAATCAGTATTTTTTTTGTTTTTTTTGTTTTTTTTTTGTTTTCTGCTACAAGAAAGAACTATCAATTCCTGGTTTTTTTTTTATTTTTTTTATGTAAAAATTTCTGTCTCAGTTTGTGTGCCTCTATTTTCTTTTTCTCCATCTATCTGAGGATCCCGTTTGAAGGTTATTGTTCCCCCCCACATAAGTTTTTTGGACGTTGGATTTACAAAAACCATGGAAAAAAACTTCTTTAATTTTATCAAACCAAATCGATTTTGTTTTAGTTTAGCTTTGATCCCTTAAATATTTTGATTTGATTTATACTTGATCTAAGATAAACCCTGATCTAAACATATATAAGAATGTTTTCTTTATCACAAAAATGATGAAAGATATCATCACCAAAAAGAAATTGAACAACTTTTTTGTGGAACTAAAAATTGAAGTAACTTTGCAGAGAGAGTAGAGAAGAAAGCTGACCTTTGGACAAGGCGAGAAAATCAGTGCGCTTCAGGTGGCTCGGAGAGTGTGTATTGTGTCTGTATCACATTTCTGCTCAGACAAAGTGACTCTTTTATATCTAGGGTTTGTTGCCACATGTCTTGTTTATGTTACTTTTTGAAATTAAAGGTTATCAAAAATAACACTAGAAAAAAAATTATCTTAACACTAGCATTACTCTAGTCTTCCTTTTCTTCTCCCTTTTTCATTTCTCCGCCTCCCCTGTGTAAAGAGCCTCGTCGATTTCGTGAGCTCTGGCGTATTTTCTCTTATCTTAAATGTACAATTGCCATTTGGAACGAATTAATTTAATATCATGGTAAAATGTAAGTGGAGATTTACATAAATTAATTTCTTTTAAAACGTTTATTTTTAAAGGGTTCGTTTATATCTTTCTAAAAGACAATTTTGTTGTGGGTTGTGGCGCGACGCTTTGCGTGATAGTAAATATTTCACGCGCTTATTTTCTAAACATGGAGTATAAAGTTCAAGTCACCCCACTCTCATGTTCGATATACATAAAGACAAATAAAAGCCAATTTGATTAAAAAGTAACCACGGAATCCTAATAATTAATTAGCTTAATTATGAACGGTTTTGATATAAATCATGAAGCACTTCGCAACAAAAACTATTAATTCATTTAGTTGGGAATTTTTGTTTTTTGTTTTTTTAACTTGAGGGTTGGAGAATTTGAATCCTACACTTTATGATATAGTTAGATGTGAAATAGTGATTTTTGTCATAATATACAAAGTAGCAAAAATTTTAAAAATATTTCGAGTTTTCAAAATTTTAAAAGCATCTATTTTTGTTTTGTTTTTTTGTTTTAAGAGATATCTATTCTTATGAGGATTTTCATTTTTGTGCTAAAAAAATTGTGAATTAAGGCATATTTCAACAATGATATGCCAAGCTTGGCGATCTCGACAACCTCCCCATCACCCAGTGCAAAATATGATAGATTGCTCACAGGTGTGTAAGGATCTATTAATCTCATGATTTCACTTAGCTCTTTCAAATTAAACTTTGACTCCTTAAGCATTGCTTAAGAATTATTAATATTTAGGGTTCATTTGGTTGTAGTGGAGGATTGTAATGGTAATAATGATAATGGAACATAATGGAAAAGAAAGCTTGTTTATTTATTTAGTTGTAGTTTTACAAATACAAAGGAATTGAATATGAATATTTTGAAGTTAGACAAAATTACTCTTATGTTATATATAAATGTATAACTAATATCAATGAAATTACTATAATATAATTATAAGTACATTTATTAAATATATAATTATAATAATACTATCATAAATGTTAATAATTATTATTAGTATATTATAATATAAAATAACAAAATAATGATATTACAATTATTAATATAATTATAATTTTATTAATTACAATATTACAACTATATTATATTTTATCATTGTGATTAATCCAAATTATATAATATATTATATAATTATATATTATAATATAATACAATTCCTTTTTATGCTTAAAAAAGTATTAAATGAGCAACATAAATATAAAGTTATTTGATTTTAGTGACTGGTCATCTAATTTCCACTTTGGGTATCGTGTTTTAATCGGTCGGGTCTCTAGACATTTTTCCTCTTTCTTTCCCTTTTTCTTTTTTAAATTTAAATAAGAATATCTAAAACTCGCATGTGTTTGGTTGAAGAGTTAAATACGGAATTTTAAATTGTTAACAGGAATATTTTAATCAGATAAATATTTCAACTATTTTGGGAGTTTTTAATTTTTAAATTCAACATTTTGGTTTTTTAGATGAGAAAAATACATGGTATGCCATGGTTTTGTGAAGACTTATTATTTATTTCATTCTAAATAATTGAGAGCCATTATAGCATTTTATTTTCTCCTTATTAATTAAATGACACTTGTTTAATTATTTATTTATTTTAAAACAAAAGTGGACTTTATTACTCAATTGCTAAATCAGCAAGTACAAAAGAGCTAATAAAGTCTGGCAAATAATCAACCTAAAGAAATCTCAAGATTGTATTCAAGCATAATTAGCTAAACAGTTGTATAAATAATATTTTCTACCATCTTAAATGACACTTGTTTATTTTTTAAGTAAAGTGGTATAAATAATACTTTCAAAAAAGAAAGTCCGTAGACTTGTTAATGTACTTGATATTACAAAAGATAAAAATGGTTCAGTATTGCAGGCATAACTATGACTTAGAAAACCCAATCTTTTTGTTTAATTTAAAAAGAAAAAATATGCAACTTTTATGCGACGTTGTCTCTTTTTACATCCGAAGTAAAGTGGAAAATAGTTTGACAACGAAGATTTTTAGCACACAGGACAACTATATACAAAAAAATATCACTCGGGAGAAAAAGAAACAAGAAAAGGCAAAAGCTTGAAGATTGGAAGAATAGTTCTGGAATTGAGAGTTTCTTCCATTTTGCTTGAAATCTCCGAGTCAATCCTCATCTACTTTTATAATTAACAGAAACCAGACTCTTCTCATAGAATTAACAAGCATTAAAATACCATAATCGGTCTACGTAAAGAATGTTTGTCATCTCTACGCTTTTGGGTCCAAAGATTGTAGGATCAGACCAGCCGTTTATCTCTATCATGCATGAGGAATTCATGGTTCTTGATGATCGATAGTGTACTAAAATAGAAAACTGTTTGATCAGTAATCAACCATCACAAATATGTCGATAAATAATGTATCGTCAAAGCACTCATAATCTCTAGGGCACACAAATAAAGCAACGTCATCATTCCGAATCGAGAGCTCCACCATGAACTTGATCTATTGTAGATCTGGGGGTTGTGTGGCATTAACATATCAAACCGAAGGATCGTGTTGTAAACTGGAAAATCGTGCGCCATCCGATAACAAACTCCCCCATGATATATGATGAGAACCGGGAATTGCTGATTTATAGTAGAAGGAAGAAACGTTAGCGATTAGTGGCGCTGACGTGAATATGGGTTACTGAAAATCTTGTTGAGAAAGCTTTCAACAGTCTTACTGAGGAAGCTTCTTTAGTAATGACTGAAATTAGTTTGTTTGTTAGATTTGTTAGTGTGTTAGCAGGGGAGCCTATAAATAAGTTGGGACTCA